TATCAGAAACGCCAATCCCCGGCAACGGTGCCAAAAACTTGATGCTCACCAGCAAGTATACCGATCGCACAAGTAGTATAATGAGAAGAAAGTATCGTCTCCACAGGGATTGTGATCGAATATCAAATAATTATCCTTTTAAGATGGAAGGAATTTGAATAGGTGTGTGAAAATTGTTGTTGATTTGAGTAAAAATAAGACTAAAAGTAAGAACGTATTTTTGGAATTTTTGTGATGAATAATAAAAATAAAAATAAGGATTGATTTGTAAAAGTATGAGAAAACATTGTAGCTAGAGTGCACTCACCAAATGATTCTCGCTTCTTTCTCTGGATTGATTTACAATACTCATTTATATAATTACTCAGATAAATTATTATCTAAAAATATTCAGTAGTTAACCCTCAATTCCTTGCAGGATTAACCCTTTAACCCCAATTCCTTGCAGGATTAACCCTTTAACCCCAATTCCTTGCAATGTTCCTCATGACATTAAGCAATGAACCCAATAATTTAAGCATCTACAATAAAATATACATCTATTCCTAGCATGCATATAAATTGTTATCCTATCCCCTTTCCAAATCAAAACCCCAATATTCCTATCTAGGGTTCTAACCCTCAAATTAACATCAACTATTAGATTGATCAGATCTAACAAAGAAGACAAAAATTACGCATAGGGTAGAGAAAAAGATAATTATATAAACGAATAATTATAAACCAATCTGTTGTAACAAGGGTTCACATAGGGTTTGTGACCCTAACTACAATAAAAAGAAACTAGCCAACCATTATCATGACTGACCTATCAATATTCAACATGAACTGAAAATTGGAAAAGAGGAGAACAAGATGAACAAGATCTTCGCAAGACTCTATCTCTGAGCACGACCGCCGTCTCTGAAGAATTAGCATTCTCTTTTTCTGTGTAAAGTCTCCTTTTTATATGCCCTCTTTCCTTCTTCCAAGTTTGCCCTTTTTAAAACACGGTACTTTTGTCTCGCAAACTGGCGCGGATCCGCACCGCTGTGGCGCTGGACCGCGCCAACTCTTTGGAATTTTGGCCCTGCATGGTGGCGCAAACTTGCGCCAGTGTGGCACTAAGTTGCGCCAATTCTCTGGAATTTGGCCCAGCAATTTTTATGCAGCATTGAATTTTCAACCGAGTGGAATCAGATCACCAAACTTTTCATATTTTTCATATTTTTCTTCTTCTTCTACCTATATAAACACAACCAAAAGGTGAGAAATATCATTGACATGGAAAAGTCAATATAGTAAGCAAATATGTATATAAACTGCTCTTTTATGACTTAATCCTTATCAATTTCAGCTTAGAAAACTACATTTGCCAGATGACGGTATGAACCCACTTTTACTTGTAGCCTTATAGGAGAACTTACTGATCTTCTGGCATGAACACCACTGTCAGGTTTCTATAGTTGGCCTAAATAGCACCTACTATTTAAATCCATTGGATACCTAATGCCATGTCTAAACCATTAATCTCTAGGATGTAGAAATCCACCATAAAGTTGCAGATTTGTATGTTGATCTTTAGGTTTTTGCCCTTTGAGTCAGACCTGATGAAAACTGCCCACAAAAATCTTGAATGGTTTAGTGGGTTCAAATTTCAGTGCTGATCACCTAGCCACAGTGGCCTTGATGAAATTGTGTATGCTTTGATCAATGAAAATGTGAGTGGATTTTTTCTTGTATTCCTTATTTTAAAAGTACTTTTATAAAAGCTACAGCTATTTAGTTTTTTAGAAAAATATTTGATTTTTGAAAAAAAAAATTGGCTTTTGACTTCTGCTTTTTTGAGAAGCTAAAATTTTTAGCTTTCGAAAAAAGTAAGTTTTTGACTTTTTTTATGACTTCTGCTTTTTTTAAAAGCAAGCATACAAACGGGCTCTTAAATGTACAATACATGCTGCTTTTTTTATAATTGTGTTGTTGAGACAGTTATAACAGTTGCCACCATATTCTTGCCAGCTCATCTTGTTGCAACTGATTTAACTCCGTAATTGCAATAGTCATGTGCCAGGGATGGTGCACTTCTCATTCTTTTCCCTTGTATGGTGCACTTCTCACTCAGAAAATTAAAAATGAAAAAGTTTGTATATAGTATTTATGGACTGATTCAGTAGTGGCCTGATTTACTATTTTTCTTTTTTTAAAAATCAGTTTATCATTTTGTCCCTTTTTTGTAAATTACATATTAATATGTATTTTTTCTTAAATTATATATTAATCCGTCAATGTTTGAAGGATGCTATTTGACTTATTTTTCTATTATTTTTTTTGATAAATACTTATTTATTTATTTTTCTATTTACTTGGTAAGTGTTGGCCAGATATTGGTTAAACATAGATAGATTGTTGTATAGTTTAATAGTTTAAGAAAAGAGATAAATTGATATATAATTTGAGTTTGAAAATAGAGCAAAAGGATAATTTTATTTTATTTTTTTCAAAATAAGGGTAAAATGATGAATCAGTCATTTCTGATTATTCTTGAAAAATATTAGTGGTTTTGATTCATGAGCTTGAGAAACATTTCCCAGACGTTGTCCATTCAGAATATAAGTTGGCTACTGCTTTGGGAGAAGTACCTTTCGTTTTAGTAGTATCACTAGGATGAAGAGCAATAAAGCAGGACTTGAATGCGTTTGTTTGAGCTTAATTTGGAAGTCTCCTGGATGGTTCTAACCGGTTGGTCTATTAATACAAGTTCAATTCCTCTCCATTTATTCATGTCAGCCCTATTGATCAGAGCTTACCAATCTTCTCCCTTTTTGGTCCCCATGCGACACATTCTCCAACGTAAGACACCAAAATGCCCTATGTTGGGATGCTACCTTCTTTTGGTAGCTCTTTCAGATCTCCTAAATAGATGTTTTTACTTCACAGTTACAGCAGCAGTGATTATCATCAGGATAGCAGAAATCGCGAAGGGTGCTGCAGCAGCAATGCCAGATGCCCTTAACACTTTCCAAGGAGAGTTGACCTAGCTCGTCCTTCCATACGAGCAAGGCATTCCTTTCCCTTATAAATATCCCCTCTATCACCAAGAAGGATATCTAATCTCTATGTATCATTATCCTGCCAATTTCATGAGCCCACTCTGCAACTCAACACCCCACCCCCCGCAAGGTATTCCCTTCCCCTATAAATATCCCCTCCATCACCAAGAAGGGACATCTAATCTCTATGTATCATTATCCTGCCAATTTTATGAGCTCACTCCGCAACTCAACACCACCACCCCTCCTCCCCTCCCACACACACACACACACACACTTACACTTATACTAGTGAACACCATTTCTGGGACGTTATTGTCTACCTTGGTCTCTATCTTTGCTGGCAACGATATCCCTATAGTAAGGTGAAAATAAGGTGAAAATCATAAGGTATTTTAGATTAGTGTAGTTCGTTTATGTAATTTAGTTGCATCTTATAATGATCTCATGAAGTTAAGTGGTGATAAACACTGATGATCTCATGATCTCATCTCAACGGTCTAGAGCTAGAAGCTTAGAAGTATATAATATTTGCTATCATTGAAAACCAATTTATTTTTTGAAGCTCATAAATAGTTTTCTTATGTGAATTTTTATTAATACAAGTAATGGTTTTATATTTTTATTATGTGAACAGTAAAACCAGTTCAGTTTAAAGCCTTTCATGCAATTGGAATCTTTGGGCATTTGCAGTAGACACAAAAATATAATGGGGTCCACTATACTTTTTATAAAATGAAATAAAAAAATCAAAAATTTGTTTGAGCCAGTGGCATGAGAGGAGAGGATTTTCCCCTTGAGATATCAAACGAACCGCATAGAAGTGAGTTATTATTTCCTACTCTTGTGGATGTTATTTACTTTCTGCTTTACCCAATGCTTCATGTAGGTTTCTGCGACGATTAAGATAATAAAACCGCAAGATCCTTCCTCCAATTTATTTTGAAGTACGACAAAACCAGTTACTAAGAAAATAAGTAAATGTAAGTAAATTTGTAAATTAAATAAATAACTAAATAAATAATAAATAAAATAATAAATTGATAAATAAAAAAATTATTTATCCTTTTAAAAGATGATCATTTTAGTTAAAATTAATTTTTTTATTTAAAATTTAAATTAAAAAAACCCACTTGAACACTTTCTTCTCTCATAATTTTCATTATATATCTCTTTTTCGCAGTTAAAATGACACAATTCTATATTCTTTAAGAGAATAAACACTAAACCTATAAATAAATAGCTAAAATAAATAAATAAATACCTATATAAATAAATAAATAACCAAATTAAAATAAATACTAAATAAGTTAAACAAACAAATAAAAAATAAGCAAACAAATGAGTAAATAAAAAGATTACCAAAAAAAAATTAGTAAATAAAAAATTTAAACAATAAAAAATATAAAAATAAATAAATACGAGAGTATGCATATACGAAATAAGTAAATAAATTAAAAATATATATAAGAAAAAATGAATTGATATGAATTATAAAGTAAATATGCAAATAAATAAAAATATAAATAAATAACTAATAAAATAAATAAATAAATAAAACTAAGTGAGTTAAATACAAAAATAATTAAGTGAATAAGTAAGTAAATAAATAGGTAATGTGTAAATAAATAAATAAATAAATAAAAATTATATAAACAAATAAATAAATAAATAAATCTATCAAGTAATAAATAAATGAATACATAGATAAATAAATAGATTAATAGATTAAAATATGTAAATAAATAAATAAAAACTAAAGAAATAAATAAGTAGGAAAATAAATTAATAAATAAAAATCAGGTCTCGTCAACTAAGACATTCTCCCCAAAAGGGGCCTGAGTTTCCTCATGTAGGTTGCAGCATAGTCTTCCTCTTCCACCGCAAGAAAGCAGTCTTCTTTCACCGTGAAGAATTTTGATTATCTTTTTTTTTTTTTTTTGTAAATAAATTTTGATTATCTTGGTGTCAATTACCTTACGCTATTGATTAACCGATCATGCATGTGGGAAACTACTAAAACACCCAGAACTGCAAATACCCGATCCAAGTGCAAAATCAGGACAGCATTATGCACATGCAATATTCATACACAAAGTTAAAACTACACAGAAATATTTGCTGGGTACTCTTGTGGATGTTTTTTTACAGTCTCCTTCAACCATTGCTCCTGTTCACGGAGGTTTGACGGAGGGACATCATAAACATCACTAAATATGTCTGCAAGCGGAGGTTTTTCTACACTCTCTGCGACTTGAATTACATGCAGAAGCTGTAGCAGGAAAATTCTGAGTTAGAACAACACTATTGAATAGTATTTTTATCACCATGATTATGATCATAAAACCCCAAGATTCTTGCTCCAATTTATTTTGAAGTTACAATAAACCAAGTTATCAGATACCCCTTAGTTGTGGCATTTGTAATTTAGTCAAGGAAGAACGTTTTTCAAGAGTAGTCTATATCAAATTCAAAGAATATACTTCCATACAACCAGCGTTCATGATTTTGATAATAAAACTGGAAGGTCCTAGGTACAATTTATTTTGAAGTTCCAAAATGTACCAAGCTAACCAATGCCCCATATTTGTCGCACATGTAATCAGTCGAGGAATAGTGAAATGATACATGCTAACCTAGGGGTGTCAATTCATTTCGTCACGACATGAATTTGACTTATTTGTGTCAAAACCTTCAACACGAGCACGACACGTAAATTTTGCGGGTTGACAAGACATGACATAAATAGCATGCAAATAATGGGTAAAACAGTAATTGACAAAAAATGGTCGAATTTACAAAAAATATGGGTTGAATTTGTTTTGACACCGACATGATACGAATTTTTTGCGGGTCATTTTTCCAACATGAACACAAAACGAATTTTTTTTGCAGGTCAACCCAATCACGAATTTTCATGTCGTGTCGCGGGTCGATCCGCATGTCATAAGACTCATAACCTGTTTTGAGAACCCTAAACCTGAAGGAGAATTAAGTAAGCATCATGAGAAGTTAGTGAAGAACCCTATCTTTTAATAGCTCAACAGTTAATTGCACATTAATAAAGCTGTTAATAATTGCTAAGGAGATTGATTTCATCATAACATCATTTCCCTTAAATTTCCTTGAGGATTTTCTCTTCCCCCACATTTTTTAACTAGCACAGGCAGTCAACGTAGGAAGTTGCTCAAGTTTGGCATAGGAAATTGTTATGCTACTTGATATAGTAGTATACTTGAAAAGGGTAATCAGAAAAATATTATTAATTGTGTAATTAATATGTACAAAGAGGTCTCTATTTATAGAGAAAGAAAAACCCTAATACTTGACCTAATGGGCTTGGCCCAATACAACAAATAATAATAGTTAAATAACCAATATTTACAACACTCCTCCTCAAGCTGAGGAATAGATATTTATCATTCTCAGCTTGCTAGTAAGTTCTTGAAATCTGTCTGAAGGAAGTCCCTTTGTTAATAGATCAGCCAATTGACGCCCAGTGGGAATGTATGGAGTGGAGCCCACTATCAAGTTTCTCTTTGATGAAATGACGGTCAACATCAATATGTTTAGTCCGATCATGTTGAACTGGATTATGAGCTATACAAATAGCGGACTTATTATCACATAGCAGCTTCATAAGTCCCTCATATTTAATTTTGAGATCATCAAGTACAATTTTCAGCCACAATAACTCACAAATGCCTTGAGCCATAGCTCGAAATTCAGCTTCTGCACTTGATCTGGCGACCACATCTTGTTTCTTACTTCTCCATGTCACCAAGTTACCGCAAAGAAACATGCAGTAACCAGTGGTAGAACGACGGTCAGTCACGGATCCAGCATAATCAGCATCAGTGTAAACTTCTAAAGAGAGATTGCCATCACGTCGGAATAACAAGCCTTTACCAGGAGTAGCTTTAAGATACTGAAGAATTCTCTCTACTGCCTGCATGTGTTTCTCCTTTGGATCGTGCATAAACTGACTGACAACACTAACAACATAAGCTAGGTCTGGTCTAGTATGAGCCAGATATATCAATTTCCCAACTAGCCGTTGATATTGTCCTTTATCAACTGGAGGACTATCCTCTTCATAGCCTATCTTGTGGTTCTGCTTAATAGGAGTATTAGAGGGTTTACACCCGAGCTTTCCTGCTTTTTTGAGAAGATCAAGAACATATTTCCTCTGGCTAATAAAAATTCCTTTCCTTGAATGAGTTACTTCTATCCCTAGGAAATATCTCAGTTTCCCAAGGTCTTTGACTTCAAACTCAGAGGCAAGCCGTGTTTGCAGAATCTGTTTCTCCACAAAATCATCACCTGTGATAATAATATCATCAACATATACAAGGAGCACAGTAAGCTTACCATTACGGGAGTGCTTGAAGAAAAGAGTGTGATCTCCTTGACTCTGTCTGTATCCTAAGGTCATCATAACCTTAGTAAACCTTCCAAACCAGGCACGTGGTGACTGCTTCAATCCATATAAGGCCTTTTTCAATCTACAAACTTTATTTTCTCCCTTCACAGAATAAAAACCAGGCGGGATTTCCATGTAGACTTCTTCTTCTAACTCACCATTGAGGAAAGCATTTTTCATATCAAATTGATTTATATCCCAATTGTAATGGGCAGCAAGGGATAACAAGACTCTCACCGTATTCATCTTTGCAACTGGAGCAAATGTTTATTCATAATCAATGCCATAGGTTTGAGTGTAACCTTTGGCAACTAACCGAGCCTTGTATCTCTCAAGAGTTCCATCAGAATTATATTTCAGGGCATAAACCCATCTGCATCCTACTGCTTTCTTTCCATTAGGTCTATCAATAACCTCCCATGTTTTATTTTTCTCCAACGCATTCATTTCCTCTTGCATGGCTTGAGCCCAATTCCCATCTTTCAAGGCTTCATGTATTGATTTTGGGATTGCAATAGAGTCTAGTGCTGAAACAAAGCTTTTGTGCTGCACAGAAAGATTAGCAGAGGAAACAAAATGGGAGATAGGGTATTGAGTACAAGAGGGACAGGAAGAACAAGATTTCTTGGGACAAGATCTTTTTCCTTTTCTAAGAGCAATGGGTAAATCATCAGAATCAGTAGTAATAGGTAAGTCATCAGAAGTATTAACATCATGATCAGAAATATGAGATTCAGGACTTACCAGTGGTTCAGACGATTGAGGTTGCTGCTGAGGCAATGTGGGTTGTTTTCTTCTTTGATATACCAACTCAGGTGTCATTATCTTCCGTATCTCTGGTGTACTTGATGTATCAGTCACAGGAGGATCAGTTACAGGAGGATCACTCACAAGAGGATCAGACACAAGAGGAACAGGAACAAGAGGAAGATACACTGACACAGGTAAAGGAGTAGACACTGAAGATTCAAACTCAAAAAAGGGAGGTGATGAGTTTTCTGGTGAAGGATTCTCCCCCTGAAGATGAGGACCTTGGAAAAAGGACTCAGATTCCTGAAATGTAACATCCATAGAAACAAAAAATTTCCTACTACCAGGGTGATAACACTTGTAGCTCTTCTTATCAGGAACATAACCAAGAAAAACACATTTAATAGCCCTAGGGTCCAACTTACTGTGATGATGTTTATGAACATGAACAAAAGCAACACATCCAAACACTCGTGGAGGAAGACTCATAGTTGGAATAGAAGGGAAAAAAGAAGTCATAGAGTGAATAGGACTTACATGGTCAAGTACCCGAGTAGGTAAACGGTTGATCAAGAATGCTGCAGTAAGAATAGCATCTCCCCAATAATATTTGGGTACATGTGTCTGAAACATTAATGCACGAGCCACTTCAAGAAGGTGACGATTTTTCTTTCAGCAACCCCATTCTGTTGGGGGGTGTCAACACAAGTAAGTTCATGAATCACACTGTTATTTCGTATAAATTGAGAAAAACTATCATTATCTGTTCTTAGTCTCTTGATTTTTTTACCAAATTGGGTCTCAACCATTTTATAAAATTGAAAGAACAGTTGTGGTACCTCAGACTTTTCACGCATTAAGTAAACCCAAGTTACACGAGTGCAATCATCAATAAAAGAAACAAACCATCTATTTCCAGAAGCATGAGGGACTTTAGAAGGACCCCAAACATCAGAATGAATAAGATCAAAGGGTGCAACACTCTTAGTAATACTAGAAGGAAAAGACACGATGATGCTTAGCAAATTCACAAACATCACAATGAAAAGACTCAACAGGCTTAGACAAAAACAATGACGGAAATAAAGACTTGAGTAAACTAAATGGAGGATGTCCCAAACGCTAATGATGAAGCCAAATCAAAGAATCAGCAGTTGATTGACCATGAGACATCAAGATGTGATCTGTTACTTTAGTTGCGGGAGATTATGACACCAGATAGTACAGCCCACCTTTCTCTTTAGCATTACCAATCGTCTTCCCCGTGGCGAGATCCTGAAAAACACAATGGGTAGGGAATAAGGTTACAGTACAATTCAAATCGTTTGTAATTTTATGAATAGAAAGAAGATTTGTGGAGAGTTTAGGAACATGAAGAACATCTTTAAGATGTAAGGACTGTTGTAAGTTTATGTCACCAGAACCCGCAACTGATGTATGTGAGCCATCAGCTACGGCTATTGTATGAGTTCCAATGGTGGGATGATAAGAAGTAAAGGAGTCAGCACAACAAGCCATATGATCAGTAGCACCAGAATCAACAACCCAAGAATGTTTAAAATCATTACATGAAGAAAGGAAAGAATAAGGTTTGGAGCTCATACCAGTCATAGTCAAAGCACTAGTATCAGATGGCTTACTCAGAGAATCAAGGATGATTCGGAGCCGTTCCAACTCATCTTGACGAAATGCAGGTTGGGTCTCATTAGGTGCAGAAGTTAATTTAGTAAAATGCGGTTGACCACACATCCTAGCCATCTTTTCTAAGACAGTTTGCTTTCCATGGAGGCGCAAGCCTAGATCCTTGATATGACCTGTTCTTTTACAATAAGAACACCATCGATCATCTCTCTTAGGTCTAGAAAATGCACCATCAAAAAACTTTGTAAAGGAACTCCCTTGAGAAGAGGCCATACTGCACAAAAAATGGTCAAAGGATAACACCAAGAAGCCAAAAATCACAAAAAAATACCAAACGACGTCCGATCTGAGAGGAGAGCACAGATCCAGAAAGAGGATGAGGAGAAGATCAGAAAAATTTTTGGCCGGAGCTGGAAAAAGTGGCCCACGCGCCTCCACGCGCCGGTGGAGGTGTCTGCAAGTGGGCCTCACTCGCCGGGAGAGTAGCGGCGCGTGAGAGCGCGTGCGACGGCCGCCGGAGCTGAAATTTCTGCGGCGAGGTCGTCCGACGGTCGCGAACCTGTCTGTGGCCGGTCGGAGTTGAAAGGTCGCCGGAAAAGTGTCCAAAACGCAATGAACAGTAGCGGCCTTGTGTTGTTTTGGGAAGATCCGATCGTCAAACGATTATAACACGTCCGTAAGCTGATAGATCAGAGAAAAAAGGATTTGAAAACCGGTCCTCTTGGTCCAAAAGGTTCACCGGAAAAATTTTCCGGTGGCGGCTAATGGCGGCAAGAGGCTAAGAAAGAAGGTTTCTGTTTTAACGGAGGTAATTGCGAAAGCAGAACCCTCAGGATCGAGAGCTCTGATATCAACTTGAAAAGGGTAATCAGAAAAATATTATTAATTGTGTAAATAATATGTACAAAGAGGTCTCTATTTATAAAGAATGAAAAACCCTAATACTTGACCTAATGGGCTTGGCCCAATACAACAAATAATAATAATTAAATAACCAATATTTACAACAAGTATGATATCTAGTATCTACTAAGGGATTTTCAGAGATGGATATTTTACCTGTTGTCTCAAACTGTTCCTAAGACCTGATTCATTCATACCATTCCACCAACCTTTCCTTTCAATCCACTTTCTAAATCTTGCTACAGGATCACGTGCCAGTCTCCACCATTCAATCTCATTGGCTGGACGATACCTGGTAGAGTCATCGGACGTGGTGTGGTGTCCCACTCTATATGTAAGAGCCTGAAAAAAGGGAAAATCAGATACAACATTGGTCCCATTAACATGTCTCAGTATGAGACCTCACACTGCCACTTTTTCTTTTAAACATGCCCAAAGATTTGGCTGGAAAAGTTATCACTATACTTCTATTAGAACTGGTCTCTCTTCACTAATTGCCATTTGGCGAGCAGCTTGGACGGCACTATATATGGCCAGGGCATCATTGCCATCAACACGTATGCTACGGACTCCGTATGCCTGTCCTCTCACAACAACACCATCACCTATGCATAAACAGAAAACCCAGCACAATTTGCCTTTAGTCATTGCAAGAAGATGCTAAAAACCTGAAGAAAAAGAAGATATTGAAACAGAGGAAAAGGAAAATTACTTCGAAACTGATCTGAAGTAGGGGTGCTGATAGCCCATCCATTGTTCCGGCATATAAAAATAACTGGGGCCTCCATAACCGCTGAAAAATTTAAAGCGGCATGGAAATCTCCCTGTCATTACACAATGTATTAGAACATAAAAAGCCAAATAAATTCTCGTAACTTATTGAGGATCCTTGATATATATATATAGGCAGTACTACAAAAACCAGAAATAGATATTGAGATCTGAAAAGTTTAGCCTTAAGTGATACTGTATTGCCTAAATTCCTTTAAAAAATTTCAAGAACAAATTTTAAGTTCTAAATCCATGCAGTGTATAAATCCCATGAAAATTTCATTTTTAGTAAGGAAAGCAATGATCTGTTACTATGGCATTGTATACACTACCTCACTTGAGCCACCATCACCGAAGTAAGTGACAGCACATGCATCCTTTTTATCCATCTTTAGGGAATATGCAGCCCCAACTGCTTGGGGAATTTGCGTACTATCAAAGTAAAATTTGCATTTTGTAACTTTTATAGTTATGGTGAACAGAAGCAAAAAAATAAAAATAAAAATAAAAATTATACATCAAAGTCTTGTATATCAAAGCTTCCAATACTTACGCAACAGTTGATGCTACGGTAACATAATTGTGCTTGTTGGACCCATAATGGGCCGGCATCTGCCGTCCTTTCCCATAATCATATTTATTGGAAAAACATTGGTTTGCAAATTCTTGCAGAGAGAAACCACGCCATAACAAGACACCCTGTTCCCTATACTGCATACAATCAAATTTGCTGTTAGACCATTTCCAGGTTCCAACCTTAATCAAGCCCACTAATTAGCAAAATTATGGTAAATTAAGAGGATAAATCCCTGATAAGAATACATGATTCAAACTAAAGAAAATCTTTCATAGATCTCTGTATAAATTGCTCACATTTTAATGAAATGAAAATAAAAGTACAAAATATCATTTTCTTTGCTTCATGTGCTTGTAACCTGAGGGAAAATAATATCATCCATGGAAAGAGCTGCAGCTGATGCAACATTGATAGCCTCTTCTCCAATTGTTGTTACATAAAATGATATTCTACCTTGCCTTTGTGCTTCATAGAAGAGAGTGTCCATAGTTTGGAGTGTAACCATGTCAGTATACATCTCAACAGCAACTTCCTCACTGACCTAATATTATTGATATCCATCAGTTTCATTTCAATGTATTTTCCCTGAGAACATGCAAAAATAATGAAATGGTAGGCCAAGGATGTGAGAACCTGCACAAAATTACTGTCCAAAATTGGCTGCCCGTTGTCATCAAGGACACGGTAGCAGGGTATTCTCTCCTGAGGTGATTCAGATATAAACCTCATTTCTGGGATGAATTTCACTGCTCCTCCAGGAAAATCTAGGACCTGTCATGTGTCATCAGTAAGCAAACATTCATATAGCATAGAAGAACTAGGTATGATGTTCCCTTTAATTCAAGAAATGCGCTGCACTCTAATTACAGGAGGTAAGGTTGAAAAGCTAAAATGCCCTTAATCATATAATGCTGCTCTGTATAGATCCAATATCTTAATTATTATTTGAACAAAATTGTAGTCAAGCCCTCTCACACCAAATTGAAATTGTTCTAACTCTTCATTTTTCTTAAATATTGGATCCTCAAAGCTCAAACATACCTCCCAAATTAACATTATGAATAAATAAACCATGTTGCAATGCATTTAGAATCACCAAGGCTGAAACCATACCATCCCAATTTTAGATTATGAAAAAATAAGTCATAATGCAATTGCATTTAGGGTCATCAAGAGATTCAAGACACAAACATACCATCTTGATTTTGTATTAGGAATAAAGAATTCAAATTGCAGTTAAATTTAGGGTCATCAAGGCTCAAACATTCCATCCCAATTTTGCATTATGAATAAAGAATTCAAATTGCAGTTGCATTTAGGGTATCAAAACCCAATGTCACATTAAAGGTTATAATTTCACATTGAAATTGCATTTAGGACCATAGAGCTTCAAGCAGGCATCCAGATATTACATTATGAGTTCATACTGTAGTTTCCTTTAAGGTCATCAAGACATCCCATCCCAATTTAAAATCATGAATAAAGAATTCATCTTGCGCTCAGATTTACAGTCATCAAGTATAACATACCATCCTGAATTTATAGTATGCATAAATAATCCATACAGCAGTCTAATTTATGGTCATCAAGCCTGAAACATCCCATTCCAATTCTGCATTATGAATATAAATTCGCAGTAAAATTGCATTTAAGGCCATCAAGGATATTACCATGCAGGTACTACATTATGAGTTCATACTGTGGTTTCCTTTAGGGTCATCAAGACATCCCCCCTCATAGATTAAAAGAATTCATCTTGCAATTGGATTTAGGGTTAATAAGGCTCAAACATTCCATCTCATTTTCAAATTATGAATAAAGAATTCATCTCACACTTGCATCCTATTAAATCTTGATTCAAGACTGGACGTTCTTAAATAAAGATGTTCCCACCAGTCAATAAAGATCAAGCGGGAGACTTTGCTAGAATGGAAATTCCAAAATCGTAGTTTAAGGAAATCGCATTACAGTCGTAAATGAAAATATTGCCTAGAAACATTGGTGCCAAACATGGCTTTAGGACAAAATGCAAATGCTCAACAAAGAACCAAGTCACTTAAATCAATTATAAAGATATTCATTAAAAAAAAAAAAAAAAAAAAACGTTTGGACCCCTCGGCCCAGGCCCTAGCTCAAGTCAATGACGCTTTTATTCGATAGGATATTAGAGATAATAAGCAGATAAAGTACGCGCAAATTATAATATCTTATCCTAATATTTGTCCTTTAAAATAATATAACTTGTGTCATCTTTTTTCTTTTTTCTTTTTTTCTTTTTTTTTTTTGATGAAGAACTTGTGTCATCTTATTCTCACAAAGAGTTCCATTACCTCTCCTTTATTTATCTCTTTTTTTCACTTAAAATATTTTAATTTATATCTTTTAAAATGACACATATTTTTTTAGTTAAATTAACTTATTATTAAAATGACACATATTTACCTCTCCATTGTGTTTTGCTTTCCTACAAAATTGGCACAATTTTTTTGAGAAATTATTAACTTAAATGTTCACCGATTTATTTATTTATGATAGGTATGTCTCCGCATGTGAAGCAGCTTGGAGAATATTTGGATTTGACATTCATTCGAGATATCCCCTGTTCAGAGATTGCCATTTCACTTGCCTGATGAAAAGAACGTTATTTTCAGTGATAATGATTCGTTGTATGATGTAAAGACAAGGGCGGAGTCTAGACTGTCAATTTTTGAGTCTTGGATGGATGCAAATAAAAAATATCCAGAAGGTAGGCATCTAACTTACGGAGAGTACCCGACTGAATTTGTTTTCAAAGAAAAAACGCATGAATGGAATCCGAGAAAAAAAGGATTTTCCATTGGAAGGATAAATCGTTTTTCTGCCAATAATGGAGAAGATTCATATCTTCGCACCTTGCTTAATTTTCAAAGAGGTTGCACCAGTTATGAAGATCTTAGAACGATCAATGGCGTGGTTTTTCCTACATTTAAGGATGCGTGCTATTCTTTAGGACTTCTGGATGATGACAATGAGTACATTGATGCAATTAAGGAGGCAAGTTCTTGAGGATCTGCTGCTTATCTTAGATGTCTGTTTGCTCTGTTGTTATTTGCCAACTCAATGAACAGACCTGAAAAAGTTTGGGAAGAGTGTTGGAAATTTTTATCCGACGACGTTGTTTATCGGCATAGGAAAAGAATAGGACGTCAAGGTACGTGTTATAATAATATTTCATACAATTTTTTTTTTGTTTAACCGAAATCAGCATATGCTGCCTTAGTACTTATTAGCTTTTTTTGCCCGTATTCAACAAATGTTGCTTTAGTGCTTATTTTGTTTTTTTTTTTGCCCGCATTCAGCAAATGATGCTTTAGTACTTATTTCGCTCTCTTTTCTTTCTTTGATTACTTTATCTTTGTTAATTTTTTAATTTTTTTTCCTTTGAATTTTATGCTTTGTCAGATGCAATTCTTACAGAAGAGTCTATAAAAAACATAACTCTTGAAGAAATTGATAAGGTACTGCATAGCAATGGGAAATGTCTCTCTGATTATCCGTCAATGCCACGCATCAATAGTGAAACTTTGCTTGATATGCAAAATCGATTAGTGTTGGATGAATTAATGTATGACAGATTTGCTTTGGAAGAGGAGCATAAAAGACTAATTAATTCCCTCACTGACGAGCAGAAAGCTGTTTATGATAAAATTGTTTCAGCAGTTACGGCAGGTAATGGAGGGTTATTTTTCCTATACGGGTTCGGTGGTACAGGAAAAACATTTATTTGGAATACTCTTTCAGCATCTATTAGATCAAAAGCTGGAATCGTACTTAATGTTGCTTCTAGCGGAATTGCTTCCCTTCTGCTTCCTGGAGGACGAACAGCGCATTCTAGATTTCGTATTCCTATTCAAATCAATGAAGATTCAACGGTAATATAAGGCCGAAATCTACTATAGCTGAGTTGCTGTCAAAAACAAAGTTAATCATTTGGGATGAAGCTCCAATGGTACATAGATTTTGCTTTGAGGCTCTGGATAGGACACTGAGAGATGTTCTTAGAATTTCTGATACAAGCTGTGTTGATATGCCATTTGGTGGAAAAGTTGTTGTTCTAGGAGGTAACTTTCGGCAAATATTACCTGTCATTCCTCATGGCAGCAGACAAGATATAGTTCATGCAACCATCAATTCTTCTCATCTATGGTCCCATTGTCATTTATTAACTTTGACCAAGAACATGCGTCTTAATTCTGGAAGTAGCGCTCACAATTTAGAGGAAATAAAAGAATTTTCTGAGTGGCTACTTAAAGTTGGGGATGGTAATCTTGGAGATGATGTTGATGGAGAATCTATTATAACAATTCCAGATGAATTGTTGATTAGAGAATCGGAAGATCCGCTGTCGGATATGGTTAATTTTGTTTATCCGAATCTCTTGGATAATATTTTGGATCAGACCTTCTTTAAAGAACGTGTTATTCTAACTCCTAAATTGTCCGATGTTACTATGCTAAACGAACACCTAATGTCTATGATTCCTGGTGAAGAAAGGACTTTTTTGAGTTCGGATAAAATTCTTAAGCAAGGTGGGACTTCCTCTGTTGAGGATGATGAAATCACCCGTGAGATCTTAAATACATTATCATGCTCAGGGATTCCTGATAATAAATTAATCTTGAAAGTTAAAGTTCCAGTAATGCTATTAAGAAATATTGATCAGTCGAGAGGTTTATGCAATGGCACGAGATTGCTTATTACAAAATTAGGGAATCATGTTGTTGAGGCAATTGTACTTACAGGAAGCAATATAGGGGAAACTGTGTTAATCCCTAGAATGACGATGAGCCCATCGAGTCATACATTTCTTGTAAATTTCCAAAGAAGACAATTCCCCCTGATTGTATCGTTTGCCATGACTATCAACAAGAGTCAAGGACAATCACTTTCACATGTTGCAATTTATCTCCCTAAGCCTGTCTTCACTCATGGGCAATTATATGTGGCACTGTCTAGAGTAAAGAGTAAGCATGGATTGAAGATATTGATACTTGATGAAAATGGTTGCGTTACGAATAGTACCCTTAATATAGTTTACAAGGAAGTATTTCAAATACTGCTATAGTATATTGGGTTCTTTCTTCAAAGATATAACTTCGTTGTATGGTACAGGTAAAGACAAAAAAAAATGACTGTTTATTCGCGTCTCTTTTCCTTATCTATCTTCAAAGATATGACCTTTATTATCCTATTTTCTTTCCTATTTTTAATGTAACAATGAATGACTATTTTGTTATTTAAAAAAATGACTGTTTGGGACCTTTGAAATACTGACAAAATGAGTTCGGCCCGGAGGGCCGACCCACCACGCCAAACAAACCAATTTTTTTTCCCGTGCATCGGCACGGGTAATTCACTAGTTAGAGATAATAAGCAGATAAAGTACACGCAAATTATAATATCTTATCCTAATATTTGTCCTTTAAAATAATATAACTTGTGTCATCTTTTTCTTTTTTCTTTTTTCTTTTTTTTTTTTTTGATGAAGAACTTGTGTCATCTTATTCTCACAAAGAGTTCCATTACCTCTCCTTTATTTATCTCTTTTTTTCACTTAAAATATTTTAATTTATATCTTTTAAAATGACACATATTTTTTTAGTTAAATTAACTTATTTATTTATGTCAGCTTTTTAGTACTATTAATTTTCCATGTTTCACTCGCGTTAACTTAGTAAATAGTTTATCAAAAGAATCAAAACTGTGCTATATTTATTTTCTTAGCATTGCATGAGTAAAACTTTTTAGCATTGGAGGTTGCCACAAAACTCTTTCGCATCACATTTCATATGCATGTTTGAGCCTTATTAACCCTGCTTTTTAGTACTATTGATTTTCCATCTTTTTTTTTTTTAGTATCGTGATATACCATTCTTCCTATCAATTTAATTATTGTTGAATTTCATCAACCGATTATAATTTAATGAAAATTAATAATTAATTAATAAGTGTAACATAATAAATGTTAGTAATTTTTAATAAATTATAATTCGTTAAATTGACAAAAATTAATAAATTAGTTACAAGAGTGATAAACTTTTTTGGTTCGGTGGTAAGTGGATCGTACTTTTTTTTCTTCTAATTTTTTAGAAAAAACGAAAAACTACAAAAGAAAGAGAAATCCAGAAGCGTAGTCATAGATGAAAATCAAAGAATAGTTGAATGTAATCAAAGAGACACGCAACACTGCAGAAACTGAAAAAACATCAAAACTCAATAGTGAAAGAGTGAGAGTTTTACCTGATTCTGAATGGAATCGTCAACGGAATTCAAAGTGAAAGGATTCTGTGATGTAGTCGAGGTAAAGCGGCGTGAGGAGAGAAGGCTCAGTGTCGCATTACGATTATGATCGAGACTCTTGAAATTAGGGTCCGGTCGATTGGGGCAAAGAGGAGTGGTCCGAGAACTCCATGATCTTGGATGAAGTGAAGCCAAGAAGTTCATCCTTGATTTGAAATGGGTGAGGATGGTAATTGATTTCCTCATCATGCTAACGCGAAACTCACAAGGAAGAAACAGAGAGAAAACGAAAAAGGGATGACACAGAAAATAGTAGCGAATTTTAAAATTTGCATATAAGAACCATAGGAGAAGGACGACACTGCCACGTCAGACCCGCGTCAAGCCAAAGAAAATATTGTAGAAAACGTTGGTTGGGTGCGGATCCAGTAGTATCCGAATTGGGCCAATTCCTGCTCCTACTCCTACCCCAACCCCAATCCAAGTAGTTAGAAACTTGAAACTTGAATTTTCAAAACAAAAAAAAAGAGAAACTTGAAACTTGGAAGTGTGCATAGTTGTAATGTATATACATGTTTATTGAGCTGGGATTAATCAAATACTGTGCAAAATTGTTAACTTTTATTTAAGAGGGCAAAATTGACTTTACACAAAAAGTGACAGTAGCTATTATTAAGCAGGAATTTAATTGAAAGACTTTGTTCGCAATGTACGTACGTATGTATATGCTGTTCTTGTGAGATGAATCAATTGAGAAAAGAATCTCTTTGTAATGTATAGGCGATTCACATTTGTTATTAATTTTGATGTTTTCTATATGCTGGTATAGATCCATCAATTTTAGCATATAGATCCACATCAATTTTTACTCATGCAATGCTAAGAAAATAAATATATCGCAGTTTTAATTTTTTTTATAAACTATAGATAAACTTGATATTTCAACTGTATGTTTATCTCATTCATTGGTAGCCTTTAAATAGGCGAACATACAATAAATGGTAACAACGTAACAGACTAAAACAAATAAATACTCTATCTAAACAGTCCTACGGTTACAAAGAATTCAAACAATATACTGTTACATATAATCTCCAACACTCCCCCTCAAGTTGGAATATGTAAGGATGAAATGTCCAACTTGGGAAGAAAACTAAGAAGCTCGCGTTGTCCCAAGGCTTTAGTAAACAAATCAGCAAGTTGGGAACGAGAAGGCACATGAGCTGTTGTAATATGCTTGGCTAGAATATGTTCACGTACAAAGTGGCAATCTAACTCAATATGCTTGGTACGCTCGTGAAACACCGGATTCGCTGCAATGTGTAAAGCAGCTTGGTTATCACAAAACAATTCCATAGGACTTGAGTGAGTGACCCCAAGAGAGGTGAGAAACGACTTGAGCCACACAATCTCTGCTGTAGCTGCAGCCATTGATCTATACTCTGCTTCTACAGAAGAGCGAGACACTGTTACTTGTTTCTTGGTCTTCCAGGATACGGGTGAAGAACCCAACATAATAAAGAAACCAGTGAGAGATCGTCTGGTAAGAGGACATGAAGCCCAATCCAAATCACAATAGGCATGAATTTTTAGGTCACAATCCGATTTGAGGAGAAGTCCTTGACCAGGAGCTCTCTTTACATATCGAATAACCCGGAGAACAGCCTCATAATGAGCTAGGCGCGGTGAATGCATGAATTGAGAAAGGATATGAACAACATAGCTCAGGTCGGGTCTTGTGATAGTGAGGTAAATCAACTTACCAATGAGTCTTCTATACCGTTCAGGGTTCTCATATACTGGTCCGTCATCCAAGGCAAGACGATGATTTTGTTCTATGGGGGAAATCGCCGGTTTACATCCACTGAGCCTGGAATCAGAAAGAATATCCAGGGCATACTTACGCTGACATAAAAATATTCCTTTCTTGCTGCGGGCAATTTCAATACCCAAAAAATATTTCAGACTACCCAGGTCTTTTATTTTAAAACACTGATTCAGATACTCCTTGACTGCAAGACAAGCATGTGAATTATTACCTGCTAAGATGATGTCGTCGACATAAACTAAAAGTGCAAGAGACACCTCCCCTTTTTGCATAGTAAAGAGCATGTAATCAGTTTTTGACTAAACAAATCCATATGCCGTCAACAAACTGCTGAGTTTGGAAAACCAGTTTCGGGGTGATTGGCGCAAACCATACAATGACTTTGTAAGACGACATACTTTATGCTTAGACCCAGTATGGCAGTACTGAATCCAGGGGGAATCTCATGTAAACTTCCTCACTTATTTCTCCATTCAAGAATGCGTTATGAACATCAAGCTGGTGCAACTCCCAGTTTCTTGCTGCAGCCACTGCAAGCAATGTACGTACACTCACCATCTTTGCCACTGGTGCATAAGTCTCACTGTAATCTTCTCCGGCAATCTGATAATTACCTACAATCACCAATCTTGCCTTATACCGTTCCACCGTTCCATCAGAACGATATTTTATTTTAAACACCCACTTGCTTGGAAGAGCACGCTTCCCTGGAGGTAAATCCGTGAGGCACCATGTATGGTTGTCTTCTAAGGCTGTGATTTCAGCCCTCATGGCTTCCACCCATCGGGAGTCTCTCATAGCATCTTGAAATGTACGTGGTTCATGACCTGTGTCAATAGCTGCAACAAAATCTTGATGTTGCTTAGAAAAGTTAGTGAGGCTAAGATAATTGCACATAGGATACCGAGTACCTGAGGTGACATTGGTTTGAGTAGGGAGAGATGAAGGAGTATGTGTTTCAGCTACTTGACATGCATAGTCCTGCAAATAAGATGGCTGCTTCATGTTACGGTGCTGGCGTGTGACTGTTTGACGCAGATTTGCTTCCAGCAACTGCTGTTGGGTTGATGCATCACTAGAACTCAAACTTCTTTCTAGTAAGGAGGACTCCCTAGCGGCAACTTCGTTAGTTGGTGTTGCTTCCAGCGAAACACTCCCCCTATCGTCCAGAGGAACACATGATCCACTAGGCGTTGCGCTGTCATTTGATGCATCAGAACCGTCATGGACAATTTGGCCTTCGTCAAAGTAATTTGGCTCTGTAGGCACATGAGAATTTGGTGCAGAAACAGATTGTACTGGAGCTTCGCGAAAAGGAAAAATATTTTCAAAAATTTTTACATCCTTGGACATAAAGTTTTGTTGCGCTTCTATATCAAACAATCTCCAACCTTTCTGCCCTATTGCATATCCGATGAAAACACATCGTCGCGAACGTGGAGCAAACTTGTCAGTTGGTTTCAGTCTTGTATTAGCAAATGACAGACAACCGAACGTGCGCAAGTATGTATAATCTGGTTTAACTCCATGCAATTCTTCATGTGGTGACCTGCCTTGGAGAACTCTTGTAGGTGTTTTATTAATTATATGAACAGCAGCAAGAACACTCTCCTCCCAAAAATCAACAGGGAGATTTGCATGAAACAGTAAGGCACGTGATACATTAAGGATGTGTCTATGCCTCCTTTCGACTCTCCCATTCTGTTCAGGCGTATAAACACAAGTTGTTTGTTGCAAAATACATTTTTCATTCAAGAGTTTCACCATGTTATTAGATTTGAACTCAGTACCATTATCAGACCTTATTATTTTTACTGTTTTACCAAATTGGTTCAGAACCATAGCAAGAAATTTGCACATCCGATTATAAGTTTCACTTTTATCGGCCAACATAAAAACCCATACATGCCTACTATAGTCATCCACCACAGTTAAGAAATAACGTGCACCAGAAGAAGAAGAATTTTGATAAGGACCCCAAGTGTCACAATGGATTAAATCAAAACATTCTTTGCTGCGAGAAAAACTTATAGGAAACATTGATCTAGTTTGCTTGGCACGATGACAAACTTCACATGCCTTACATACTACTTTATTTTGCAAAGCTTTAACTTCTGGAACCAGAGATAAGATATCATAGGATGCATGGCCTAGCCTGTTGTGCCACAAGTCAATTGACTCTCCTGCTTGAACTGCCGAAGCTGAAGCACATGAAGGCTGAAACACATAGACTCCTTCATGAAGTTCACCCAAACCAATCTCCCTCTTCAGCACTTGGTCCTGCAAAATGCACTTTTTATCAGTAAATGTAACGCTACTGCTCTTGGAGTGAAGCAATTAGGAAACAGAGATGAGATTGCAGCGTAAGTTAGGCACATATAAAATATTTGACAAGATGAAGTTTGTATTAAACACCATCGAGCCTTGTTTTGCAGCATAAGTAATAGAACCATTTGGTAGAGTCACAGATAGAGGGGGAATAGGTGTAATGTCAGCTAATAAAGCCAAAGTGCCTGTCATATGACATGAGGCCCCACTATCAATGAGCCATTGAGAATGAATACGCTTACCAGATAATTTTTCATGTGACTGAGGCTGGTCTACCAATGTTAACAGTTTGTTCACAATTTCTGGGGTCAAAACGGAGTGTGCAGCAACTTGAGAAGAGGTAGAATGGGAGACGTCTGGAGGAAGAGAGTTAGCAGCAACTGGGTGTGAGGCATCCATTGCAAACGTCGCATGAGCATGCGTATAACGTCCTGCCGAACGTCCTCCCCTTCCTCGTCTGCAACCAGCACTCCTATTTGGTGGAAAACCATGAACGTTCCAGCATTTGGAAGGGTCGTTATTGGTCTTGCCACAATGAGGGCAAGGTATTCTGTCTTGTGGTTTGTTAGGAACCATCCGCTGCTGCATGGACATGTCTGACTGCTTCATGGAATCGGTTTGGGCTGAGTATCCCACTACCTGACTCCTCTCATCTTGAACGCGAGAAATACTACGATGGGTCTCCTCTTGAGTGACAATTGCGTACACTTTGTTGACACTAGGAAGAGGAGAAGTGTTGAGGATATGGGATCTCAGATTGCCAAATGTAGATTCATCCAGCCCCATCAAAAATTGCCTTTCCTCTAGGTCATTCCATAAGTCCTTGACGTCATCAAAGCACTTGATGAATGGTTGAAGTTTTGCATCAATGGTGTTGTGAATCCAACCATTGA